TACCACTCATTCCAGGGGGTAGTGGCCAGGAGCCCATCCCAACCCCAGGAACCACCCTGATGAGGCTAAGCCACTCAGAGGCTGACTTTGTCCTGGTTGGTTCATGGATGGGCCCATGACCCAAATTGGTCTCTAGAGAAGCTCGGAGTTTTGTTTAATGGTTAGAAAAGAAAGGCCCTTTCCCACCTCAGTTATGAATAAAGAAGTCTGTAGCATGAGGGCATTTGGCAGCAATCCTATGGACATGAGGAGAGGCAGACTTCTACCACATGAAAGACAGAGGAGAGATATGGGTATAAATTAACTCTTTGGTGATAGTACTGAGCCAATAAATTTTTCTTATAACTAAAGAAAACTTGGGTTATATTTTCTGTTACTGCAACCAAAGACAAGTTAACTAACACACCATTTCATGTCAACAGGAAGTTCAGTAAGTGTATTCTCCTTTATATTATCTTAGTTGTCAATAAAGCTGTTGAATAGAAGAGATATCAATATCATTTCTTAGAGCAGAGAAAAATAGTAACATTTGTTTTATGAAACAACTTCAAAGTACTTAGAACATTGTTAGAGATTTAACTGATGATTCATAAACAGTAATGCCAACCTCTCTGCACATGTCAGACCTGCCTTGCCTCTTTCCGAGACTTCATTGTCCTCTTGGCTCTGAGGGTCTGAAGCACTTAACACCCCATGCTGCAACCGTGCCACTTAGGCTCCAGTCTGTTACATTCCCCACTTCTTTTCCAATTATACAGAATCAGTACTCTCAAATCTCATTCCATACTAATGACCCTCGTACTGTCTTCCCAGGTGAAGCTAATTAATCTACTCATTTATCTATTCAGATTCACTTAACAAAATCTGTTGAGCACATGTTGTGTTAGTCAGATTTCTTAGTTGCAAACTGGAAAATCCGCTCTAACTAATTTAAGCAGCATAGAGTTTATTAAATATAAAGAACCTCAAGAAAAGTTAGGAAACTGAGCTTGGATACTGTCCATCTGGGAGCAGAGCAACCAGCAGACACGTCTGACCACACCATGAAAGTGCTCTGCAGAGACTGCAGTTATCCCCACTTGGCGCTTAGACATTAAATCCTAGATTCCAGAAACTTCTCTGCAGCTGCCTCAGGAAAACCAGATGCCTTTGTTACCACACTGTCTATAAATCTGGTCTTCTCGTGGCAATCACCTCTCTTCACTCACCTCCAAATCCTACACAGGGGTGTCTGCTTGATGGAGCTATGTCTCATGCAAAACATGAGTTACAAGAGAAACTAGGAAATGTAGTTCTATAGGAAGTAAAACTGGAATGGGGGATGTAATGAGAGCTGAGTGAGATGATTTGGTTTCTGCCACATGTGCTAGGTGCTAGGCACTGTTCTAGGCAGTGGGGATAGAGCAGTGAAAAAGAAAAATGAAGTCCCTGGTCTTGTGGAGAAAAAAGTCCAGTGGGGAGGCAGATACTAACAAGATAATAAATAAAATTTCAGATAGTGATAAGAACTGGGAGAAAAATTGAATGGAGTGACAGCTTGGAGTTAAGGGGTGTTGCTTTTCATAGGGGGCCCAAGGGAAATGCTTGTAAAGAGATAGAGTTTGAGCAAAGATTCAAATGATGAGGAGCAGGAGGCCCTATGAAAATCACTCCAGGTAAAAGGAACAATGAATTGCAAGGCTGTGGTGAGGGGTGAGCCTGGCACAGCTAGAGTGCTGTGAGCAATGAAAGTGTGACAGGAGATGAGATCAGGTAGGAGGACAGGGATCAGATCACACAGGAGTTGGGTCATGATATTGAGTTGTATTGAGAAGGTTGTAAGCAAGGTAGTGATTTGATGTAACTTCCATTTTATAAAGATCTCTCTGGTTGCTATGTGGAAAGTAGACCATGGGAGGGCAAAAGAGGGAGCCAGGAGGTGGATTCAAAGACTTGTGCAGCTCCCCAAGGAAAGGATGATGGAGGTTTGAATGGGAATGATGGCAGAAAGGTGGGGAAAAGTGGTCCAGTTCTGGGTATGTTTTGTAGTTAACCTAATAGAAAATTGCTCTGGATTGGAAGTTGGAGATGAGGGGAAATAAGGAATGGTGCCTAAAATTTTGGACTGAGCCAGTAGATGGGTAAAGTCTGGGAAAGAATAAGGCTTAGGGGTAGAGGGGAGAGAAAGTCAAGAATAGACATCCAAGTTGTACAGTTGCCACAGGGATAAACTCAGGGAAGAGGTTGAGGCTGATGGCATAAACTGGGGAGATATCAGGATACAGATGTATCTAAAGCCAGGGAATTGGGTAAGTTTGCACATGGAGAGAGAGCAGAGGACAAAGAGCAGAGGACAGAGTCCTGCACACTGCAATATTTACAGTTTGGGAAGAAGAAAAGGAAGCATTCATTAACTAGTTTTTTCTTTTTATTCTTTTAAAAATATATTTTATTGATTATGCTATCATGGTTTTTCTAATTTTTTCTCCCCTTTATTCCCCTCCACCCTGCACCCCCTCCCACCAGCATTCCCCCACCTTATTTCATGTCCATGGGTCGTACATATAAGTTCTTTGTCTTCTCCATTTCCCATATTGTTCTTACCCTCCCCCATTTATTTTGTACCTACTGTTTATGCTTCTTATTCCCTGTACCTTTTCCCCCATTCTTCCCACTCCCACTCCCTGCTGATAACCCTCCATGTGATCTCCATTTCTGTGATTCTGTTCCTGTTCTGGTTTGTTTGCATAGTTTGTTTTTGTTTTTTAGGTTCATTCAATGGTTGTGAGTTTGTTGTCATTTTACTGTTAATATTTTTGATCATCTTCTTTTTCTTAGATGAGTCCCTTTAATATTTCATATATAAAATATGAATAATTTTCATATAATTAGGGTTTGGTGATGATGAACTCCTTTAACTTGACCTTATCTGGGAAGCACTTTATCTGCCCTCCCATTCCAAATGATAGCTTAACTAGTTTTTGAAGAAAGATGAAAACCACAGAGGTGTGGTGTCCTGATTACTAAGTGAATACTGTTTCTAAAGGAGTCAGTGAGTACCTGTGGTAAATGCTTTCTTGATGCAGAAGTCTAGTAAGATGGCAGTCGCTGCTTTTGGTTCAGTGGGGATTGCTGATGACCTTGCAGAGAGCCACCTGAGCTTAGTGCTATTGTGGGCATGCAAGATGGGAATGATCCAGGGGATGGAGAAAAACTGATTAGAGGAGAGAGAGATTCATTGTAGGAGCAAAATAGGTGAGAGAAGAAGAGGATGGAGGGCTGGCCTTAGGCAGGAGAACGGTAGTAACTGGAGGAAGGGTAGAATGTGGATTTAGTGGCAGGGCGTGAGCTAGTTCTGGTCAGGCTGCTTATGTTGAGTAAGAAGGGTGTGTGGCCATCAGCTCAGACTGAAGGCACAGATAGGAGTCTGGATAGAGTGAAGCACAAGGGTATGGTGTGATTGCCTCATTTATGAGAGTGGAAACGTGATTCTTGAGAGAAATACCACAGGATTTCTGGTTTGTAGTGAAATCTGTGGTCATGAATTTCAAGCAAGACCAGGGTGTAAATTGTATACTACTCAAAAGAGCCCTCAAAAATAATACTCCCATCTGGTTTTGTAAACAAAAGGAGTGGAAGTTCTGATAATGGGAATTACACACCTGGAAGAAGGGAAAAGTAGAATAATGGCAGGTATTGGCAGTATTTTCAAGAGCTGGGATGTTGTGGTGCCCCTGAAGTCACATCTGTGGATGACTTATTCCTGATGCTTTGCAATGGGCATCCTAGCACTTCCCAGGGAAACCATGAATCTCTGGTGGGTCTTTTTGGGGACAATGCATACCAGACTTTCATTCATCTACCATCCATCCATCTAGTACATTCTTAGGTATCTGAGACACTCAGGAGTAAGATGAGCAAGGCTTAGTGAAACCAACACAAATTAGCCTTATTACTTAAATGGTAGCAAACATGTACACTGCACTTATTACAGGCTAGGCACTACTCAGAGTAATTTGAAAATTTTAACTCTTTTAATCTTCCCCACTACCTTTGAGGTAGGTATATTTTCCCCCTATACTACAGATGAGGAGACAGAAGCAGAGATATTGAATGAAACCACCCTAGTGAGACTAGAACTTGGACCTGGACAGTCTGGCACCAGAATCTGGGGTCTCCACCACTAACCCCTACTGCCTTCTTTTTTCCAATGAATCTATAAGTTTTATTTTGTAAAAATTACTCAGAAACATGTATACACTCCAGTAAGATATTAGTACTATATTGAATATTACATTTTGATCACCAATTAGAGAATTCTCTTTCATGAATAGTTGCATTTTATAAAACTGAGATTTTTATAATTCTAGAGGCAAGTATAATTTCTTTATCAAGTATCTGACTATTTCAAGTATCAAGGGCTTTAAGCACAGATCTGCTAGAAATGTAGTAATTGAAAGTAAATGACCAATGAAGAGAGACAGCTTCTAATAACTCTATATGTAGTTTTGTTGTTAAACTGATTTAATTTTAATTTGTTTACAGATTTAAGTGAATTGGTTGGAGGTAAATTTTATTAGTTTAAAATTATAATTTCTAAGTCTTAAAATATACCCTTTTGTTAATTTAAAATTTTTACTTCTCTGGTTAAGGCTACTTGAGATATAAAAGGTATCAAAATAATATCAATCTGCTTCTTTTACCTTGAAGATGAGACTGAGTTTGGTAGGATTTTTCAAATCTGGCATGATTTCCTCTCAAGTCTTTATATGAATTTCCCAATGGCTAAAAACAGAATACTAATGTATCCCATTTTGTACAAGTTACATCATCTGTCCAGAAATTGCAGGGATCATCTTGGTATATATTTCCTACATTTACTTCATTCCATCTTCACCATTACTACACTGAATATTGTTAAGATATTTATTCCCTTCAGTATTTTTATTGTAGTTGCCCCTTAGTTGTTGGACATACATTTTCTGCAAAGCTGATAACATTATTTTCCTTCCTCACCTCAGGTTATCATTGCCCTTTCAGAAAAACACCGTTCCCACATTCCATACAGGAACTCCATGATGACCAGTATCCTAAGAGACAGTCTGGGTGGGAACTGCATGACAACCATGATTGCAACACTCTCTCTAGAGAAAAGGAATATTGACGTATGTTGGTTCTTCTTTCTGGAGCTCTCAGTCTGAGTTTTAACGTTAGTCTATGTAATAGAGTTGAGGGTCCGGTGGGTTTCCATCTATTCCGCTGGGTTAGAGTCTGCCTTCAGGTTAGAATATACCCTCCAGAATTCACACCTTTGGGTTATTCATCAGCATTGTAACTACCCATTTGAGAATTGACTTCACATATACAGGATGGTTTAAAGAAGCCCCATACACAAATTTCAGAAGACCTCCTAATCTGGTTACCTTGTGCCAGAGACATGAGAGAAAAGACCCATCAGCGTCTCCTGCTCTATTTTTCTCTGGCTTACTAAAATACCTTAGAGACATTTCCAAGGTGTGTTCCTCAACACGTCTCTGGGCACAATACTGAGGATGCTTTGGCAGGGTCTGGCTACCGAATGGCTTTCCTGAGTTGCTTTATGATGTTTCATGCATTTCAGTTTAATATTTGAGATCTAGATTTTCTCTGAAAGAGGAAATGGCAGGGGACCTCTCCAAACACGGCCAAGCCCCAGGTGCACTGTATTGTGCCTTGAAAGCCTCTCTTTTTGGTCTGTCACACATATTTCATTTGTGGTCTTTCATGTTTATGGATTAGGTTATCTGCTCTGATTATGATTTGCATATATGGTTCTGCTTTAACAGTCAATAGTTGAGAAACACACACCAGTTGCCATTTAGGATCTCAGGATCTCCTATACCTTTGGCATTGATCATTTTACTAAACCCAAGCCACATTTTAATAAAAATAATGTTCCAGAGCAAAACTCCCTAATCTAGAAGCATGTTTCCTCATTGTGTTTTATACATGTCACTCTTTGGATATGCATCTTTTTCCTATGAACAAAAATTTACTTTTGTCTCTCTGTGCTGTAACATTTTAAGGCATTATTTGTTTTCTTAGGAGTCTATATCTACCTGCAGATTTGCACAGCGGGTGGCACTCATAAAGAATGAAGCTGTTCTTAATGAAGAAATTGACCCCAGATTGGTAAGTAAACTTTAACTGACTGTGTTCAAAATCAGAGTACTATATTAAAGATTAGCTAAACTCTGGAGGCACTTGCTTCCCCTAATCAGGCAATATTATAAGTCCTGGGAACATATTAACTCATTTAATTCTCACAACAGCCTCATGAGCAGATGCCATCTCTATCTCCATTTTACAGATGAGAAAACTGAGGCACAGAAATATTAAATAATTTGTTCAGAGTCCCAGTGCTACTAAGTAGCAGAGCCACGGTGCAGACACAGTTTGACTCAGGGCTCGTGCCCTTACCTGCAACCCCCCCATTACTCCACTAGCAAGGTGTAAGGTGAGTCCTGAGGATGTATATGGTGGGATCACACACGGTTACGTCTGCGTGCAGGTCATAGCCTTTCAAAGCACTTAACTTTCTGGAGACAATAATAACAGACCATCTTTTGGAAAGCTGTAGAAAAAAAGAAGTCCTAGTGTTTATTAAATAGAACCATATTTTAGATAACAGCTCTGTTATTTTTCTAGAGATTTTAAAAAATTAACAGTGGTTTGATCCATGAAAAACTGGTCGAGCTTCTAGTTTCATGAAATGAACTGTGCTTTATCAAAGTGCTTTTTTAAGCAAAAATGTTTGCAAGTTACATGATTCAGCTACTCATTATAAATGCAGATATTTTCCTTATTCTCTATTTTGTTAGTCTTACATAAATGAAATGCAAAGTGGAATCAACTCATGCCAACACAAAAAAGGTTGAAATAAAATTTTTAATTTTGTAAAACTCCAAAATTAAGATTATATTACTTTGCAAGTCACTCAGCTTTCCTTTTTTTCTTTAGTTTCTCTAGAAAACAAGCTGGTGGAAGCTCAGTAGAATTCATTGTAAAAGATGATGAGAAATCTTATCAAGAGTGTTTTATTTACAAAGTTCTCAAGTTCCAAAAGAAAAATCTCAAGTTCCAAAAGAAAAATCTCAAATTCACTGTTACCCATATTAACTACTTCCTCTTGATTGTTTGCCCTTCTTCCCCTGAAATCATTCTATTGAGGGGCAGAGGAGAAGGAGGAAAAAGAAATAATGGAGCTATGTTTTGTCCTGCTCTCCTCAGGGAGCTGGAGCTCCCCTGATGGAATTCTCTTCAGAAGAAACCAATGGGTGAGGCAGGATATGTTTCCAGTACAGGCCCTGGTCAGATACAGCATCACACCGGCCCCCACTGGAAAAAGGAAACAAAATTCAAAGGAATTGTGTCAAGTGGAATTGAATTCCTAGGATGAATTCTTCTGCTGTCCCAACCCTGCCAATTGCCCTGTAACCTTACTGTGCAGAAGGAGAAAGACATTAATGGGGGTATTATGAGCTGGAAGCCAGAAATTAGTATATAATTAAAGGAAAATAAATATTAGACATTGGGACTTTTTTCTTTAAATTTGTCTTGAGAGACTTTTCTTTGAAGAAACATGAGGAATTTGAAGAAAGGTAAACATTATCATGTGTTTGATGCAGGTCAGTCAGATATTTAAAGAAAAAAAAAGAAAGTGGGAGTCAAAAGCTAATAGCTGATAATTGAACAAATGCTGAGGTCTTCTTGGTACAGAACAAACTGGTAATTGACACGTGTGGTTTCCTGGTCCCTTTTATAATTGCTTCAAAAACTGACATTACTGTTCATTATTTTATGTACAGAGCATTTCTGAAGAACAAGTGACAACTGAAAATTTGTCCGCAAAACCACCCAAAGTACAACTTGAGTGGGATTTCCTATGTCTTACTCTCAAAATTTAATGGCAAATGTGGACCAGCCCTGTAAGATTGGACTTGCTTCCTTTATAAGTATTAGTGCCTCAGAGAGACAAGATGATAAAATAACTGTGAACAGATATGAAGGACCCATAGATGTGGACAACAGGATGGGGTTTGACTATGGAAGTGGAGCGTGAGCTGGCTGGAGGGAGTTGAAGGGGGAAATAATTGGAACAACTGTAACACATAAACAATACAACGTAAAAAATAAAATAATAAAGATACATGTAGGTAGCATCCACAAAACAAAACAAAAAGTCCATGTACAGGCCAGATTCTGTGGTCACTGGGCATGTGCCAACATCTCCTCAGGATGGCTCTCATTCCAAAATTCCTGCAGTAATTTGAGGGAAAGTGTGAGTGGGATAATTTCAAAATTATGAAAAGTTAGCTTAGTTGTAAGATTTCTCTTCAGTAAAACAGAAGGTAATTTGTTTGTTGGATTTGACATTAGAAGTGTCAGTAGAAGCAGAAAACATGGCATCGAGATTAATTTAGTAGAAGGAGGGTAAAAATGAATGATTCACATAGTTCTGTCCAAGGATTTTCATTCTGCATAGCTTGATGATTCTAAGAATGTTTTTGAAAAGAAGCAACAACCAAAACCAACTCAATTCTTCACATTTAAATGAAATTCTACAAGTATTGACATGCTCAAAATATTTATATTACCTTTTTTGGAAATTCTGGCCCTTTTTATATGGTACAGATAATATGAGACTCACCTATATAAAATTTAACGAGCATCTTTTGAAATGTATGTCTGAGGCTAGAGGAAGTAAGAGAATTTCCATAGCCAGGAAGCAAAGCTGAGGCTGCAGTTGTCATGGAGAGGAAGGATGAAGAGGGTTTTAATAAAGGCATAGAAGTCAAAGCCCTTGGAAGGTGTATGAAGAACCTAAGACATCTCTTCTCTCCCCAGTAAAACCAGTGAAAAGTTGCACCTGAAAAGAAGAAATCTGTTTCCTGGCTTAGGGAGATGCTAAGGAAATGTTTCAGCCTTAGCCTAGACTCAAGGTAGAATAAAACATTGTTTCTCTGAAAATTTGAAATCCTAAAGCTCTGCCTTACATGAGTTTGAAGTTCATATTTGCATGATTTTCTTAGTCAGGTAACCCCAAGCCAAGAATTTGGAAAATGAATACTTAAGTAAATAAAAAAAATAGAAATACAGCAACTAAAAAGCATAAAAAAGTAAAAACAGAAAGCCAAAGGAAAGATAGAGTTGAGAGAAACAAGAAAACCTGAAGTTTATTTTTTAAAGATTAATAAAATGAACAAACCTCTGGAAAATCTAATGAAAAAAATCCATAAAGAAGGCACAAATTGATATAACAACTATTTGAAATACTGAGGGATTTAACTGCAGGTACATTAAATATATTAAAATAATAATAAAGTATTTTGAATGACTTTATGGTATAAATTTGAAAACTTAAACAAAATGAGCAACATCCTAGAAAAACATAACACTGAAGCTAAAGCAAGAAAAACTTAAAAATATTAATAGATCTACAACTAATAAATAAACTGACTCAATAGTAACAAGCTACTGAAAAGAGGGAAAGGGAGAAGAAGAGAAGGAGAGAAGGAACAGACTCAGTGTTTTTTTTTTATGTTTACCAAATATTGAAGGAAGAATAAAAATTGGATTTCACCTACTAATTTTATTTTAGGAACTTTGCATTATGGTTGATCATATGATCATTAATATAATATGTGGTATCCTTAGAAAAGAAATGAATGTATAGTAAAAGAAAAATAACCATGAGAAAAATACCAACCAAAAACACCAAATTTAGGGAATTTTAAAGGAAAATTCATTTAGGGAAAGCTACACAGGGGCAAGGGCTTTAAAAGAGTCTGTAATGTTTTATTTCTTTTCTTTTCAGTCATAATTTATTACTTTTATTTTTTTATTGTTATTCAAGTACAGTTGTCTCCATTTTCATCCTGCCATGCCCCCATGCCACACTCATCCCCTCCTCCCACCTTGAACTTGCCCCCTTGGCTTTGTCCATGTGTCCTTTATATGTTCATCCATGGCCCTTCCCCTATATTCCCCCATTATTCTTCTCCCCCCTTCTCTCTGGTTACTGTCAGTTTTTCTTTTATTTCAATGTCTCTGTTTATTTCTTAAGCTAAGTAATGGGTACATTGGTGTTCACTTAAGAGATTTCAGTTATGTCAGTTGGTGTGCAAGGTGTTCTTATACCCTTTTGTATCTCTGAAGTAGTTCATACTAACAAAACAACATACTTACAAAACTTAAGGTGATTCATCACATTTAGAGTTTAAAAGATAAAAATTATGTGATCACATCATCAGATGCAGAAAAAAATATTTGATAACTTTAAACATTCATACATAGTTTGGAAGACTCATCAAACTTTGAATATTGAACATTCTTTTTTTGTAATTTTTAAAAATTATTTTATTGTTGCTCAGTTACAGTTGTCTTCATTTTCTCCCCACCACTCCCCACCATCCTAGCCAATCCCACCTCCCTCATCTGCTTCCATCCCCACCCTGCTTGGTTTTGTCCATGTGTCCTTTATACTTGTTCCTGAAAACCCTTCTCCCCATTATCTCCACTCTCACTTCCTCTCTGGTTACTGACAGATTGTTCTTAATTTCAATGTCTCTTTGCTTGCTTTTTTCTTTTGTTGATTACGTTTCAGTTAAAGGTGTCCCTCACCGCCTGGCTTACTTTATTTAAGCATAATGCTCTCCAGTTCCATCCATGCTGTTGCAAAGGGTAGGAACTCCTTTCTGTCTGCTGCATAGTATTCCATTGTGTAAATGTGTCATAGATTTTTAATCCACTTATTTGCTGATGGGCACTTAGCTTGCTTCCAGCACTTGGCTATTATAAATTGTGCTGCTATGAACATTGGGGTGCATAGGTTCTTTTGGATTGCAGTTTCAGGGCTCTTAGGATATAATCCCAGCAGTGGAATTGCTTGGTCAAAAGGCAGTTCCATTTTTAGTTTTCTGAGGAAATTCCATACTGTTTTCCACAGTGGCTACACCAGTCTGCATTCCCACCAACAATGCACTAGGGTTCCCTTTTCTCCATATCCTCTCCATCACTTGTTTGTTGATTTGTTTATGACAGCCATTTTCACCAGTGTGAAGTGGTATCACATTGTGGTTTTAATTTGCATCTCTCTGATGGCTAGTGATGCCAAGCATCCTTTCATATGT